GTGCCCTTGATCCCACTGCCCATGTCACCAACAAAGTCCATGTCATTCTTCAACACCGGGATCTGCTCCCGGGATCCACATGTGTGTGAATTTAAACCTCTGTGTGTGAATTTAAACCTCTCTCTGGGCACAGGGATCTCACTCTTCCCTCTTTCCTTGCAGTTGGAAGGATGGTCTTGCCTTCAACGCCTTGATCCACAGACACAGACCTGAACTTATTGAATATGACAAACTCAGAAAGGTAAAACTCAACCGTAGTGTGGTCTCTGCTGGGGTTTTTTTTTGTTTAAAAACTGAGCTTTGAACTGGTGGAGGAGCACTTCTGTCTGTCTGTCCATCTATTTAACTGCCTCAGCGAGGTGTTGATGCTCCTCAACCACCAAATCTCTTCATCTCTTCTCCAGGATGACCCCGTGACGAATCTAAACAATGCCTTTGAAGTGGCAGAGAAATACCTGGACATCCCAAAAATGCTGGATGCAGAGGGTAAGTAAACTCTGAAGGTGCTTCCAGCTCTCTCATGGTGATGTTATCCAGCTCAGTGATGGAAGATCTACCCCTTCATGGTGATGTTATCCAGCTCCTTGATGGAAGATCCATCCCTTCATGGTGATGTTATCCAGCTCAGTGATGGAAGATCCATCCCTTCATGGTGATGTTATCCAGCTCAGTGATGGAAGATCCATCCCTTCATGGTGATGTTATCCAGCTCAGTGATGGAAGATCTACCCCTTCATGGTGATGTTATCCAGCTCTGTGATGGAAGATCCATCCCTTCATGGTGATGTTATCCAGCTCTGTGATGGAAGATCCATCCCTTCATGGTGATGTTATCCAGCTCTGTGATGGAAGATCCATCCCTTCATGGTGATGTTATCCAGCTCTGTGATGGAAGATCCATCCCTTCATGGTGATGTTATCCAGCTCTGTGATGGAAGATCCACCTCTTCAAGCACCGAGGAAGCGTTGCCTGGCGTGGAGCTGGGGGAGGAGGGTGGTTTAATGTCCAGGGATTGTATTTAACACCTTTTTTTTGCCCGTACAGGTTGAATTATCTGATTTTTAGTGTGAAATTCCAGCCTAAAGAAGAGCTGGCTCTTAGGTTCGGCGTGGAGAGTGTGCTGGAGGCAACTGACATCCTTCTTTTCCATCTAATCATTATTATTCACTTGCAGACATTGTCAACACAGCTCGCCCTGACGAGAAAGCCATCATGACTTACGTGTCGAGTTTCTACCATGCCTTTTCTGGGGCTCAGAAGGTACCAGAGGCGACTGCATCCATCTTGCTGTAACATTTTTTTCCCCCCCAACCGCAGCACCTTACACTCATGCAAACTTTTCTTTCAGATGATCTCTTTTTGGTGTCTTGAGAACCAGACCTCAGCCACCTTCATATGGGTTTTAAAAAAAACCCACCTCTTGACTTTCCTAAATCTATGTGTAAAAATATGGTAAGTCGATGGAGTTGGCACAACACACCCAACATCTGGAACTCCTTGAAGCTTCCCTAATGAAATCTGAGAGCTCAAATCACAAAACAAAACCAAAAAACCCCTCAGCATTTTACAAGAAGTTAAATTAAATAAAGGAAACATCACCCAGCTCTGGTCTGAATCTCAAGCTCCAAGCAAACTCTTCTTCTTCTGCTGCATGTCCCAATGGGTTGTGAGGATTGCCCCGTTGCTGCTTCACCCTCCTCTCTCCTCCCTTTCTCTCTGCGCAGATATTGTTGGCACTCTCAGACCCGATGAGAAAGCCATCATGACATATGTTTCCTGCTTCTACCACGCTTTCTCGGGTGCTCAGAAGGTGAGCTTTTATACCTGGTGGAGCTCCACACCTTGGGTGTCATAACGCTAAACTAACATCTCACCTCACATTTCTGAGGGTTCCTTAATGCTGCTGCACGGCTTTTTGGGGGGGGGAAATGGGGTTAAAAAAAGGGTTTTTAGTTCTGCTTCACTTTGGGGGGTTTTTTGGTGGGTCAAGAAAAAAAAAATGTCTGGATGGTTGTACCCAAAGAAGTTAAACCCAGTGAAGTGGGTTTAAGAAGTGCCTGGGGAGGGCTCCTGCCCTTCCTCCCCACTCATCATCTTCACTCAGCTGCCTTCTCCTTCCTAAACGCCTCGTGTCGGACCCGAAATACGGGTCACTTGCAAGAACAACCAATCCAATTAAGAGAGATCACTTTTTGGTTACCAGTGGTGTTCTCCAGGGCTCAGTACTGGGACCAGTCCAGTTTTAATGTCTTTATCAATGATCTGGATGAAGGGTTGGAGTGTACCCTCAGTTTGCAGATGAGACCAAGCTGGGTGGGAGTGTTGATCTGCTGGAGGAAGCTCTGAAAGGGATCTGGACAGACTAGATTGATGGGCCAAAACCAATTCCATCAGTTTTAATAAGTCCAAATGCCAAGTTTTGGCCTTAAAAACCAACATCAGCCATGACAGGCTTGAGGAGGAGTGGGCTGGAGAGCTGCTCAGCAGAGGGGGACCTGGGGGTGTTGGTTGAACATGGGTCAGCAGAGTGCCCAGGTGGCCAAGAAGGCCAACAACAGCATCCTGGCCTGGATCAGCACCAGTGTGGCCAGTAGGACCAGGGAGGTTCTCTTACCCTGTACTGGGCACTGGTGAGGCTGCACCTCGAGTGCTGGGTTCAGTTTTGAGCCCCTTACTCCAAGAAGGACGTGGAGGTGCTGGAGTGTGTTCAGAGAAGGGCAACGGAGCTGGGGAAGGGTCTAGAGAAGAAGGAAAAGGGTCTGGAGCTCGAGGGAGAAGGTCTGGAGCTCAAGAGAAGGGTCTGGAGAACTTAGGAGGAGCAGCTGAGGGAACTGGGGTTGTTGAGCCTGGAGAAAAGGAGGCTGAGGGGAGACCTTCTGGCTCTCTACAACTCCCTGTGAAAGGAGGGTGGAGAGAGGTGAGTCTTGGTCTCTTCTTCCAAGTGACAAGTGACAGGACAAGAGGAAATGGCTTCAAGATGCTCAGGTTTCATGAGATGCCAAATTCTTGTTTAAAGCCACATACTCCTGTTCTCCCGTTTCCTTGGGTTGTCCAAGGCACAGTGGTGGAGTCCCCATCCCTGGAGGGATTGAAGAGTCGTGTAGACACAGTGCTGAGGGACATGGGTTAGTCATAGGGGACTGGTCAGCGTTGGGTTCATGGTTGGACTCCATGATCTCAAAGATCTTTTCCACTGTAGCCAATTCTTGGGTTCTGTAAGAAGGGCAAAACATAAACTCCTGACCAGGAGGAGATCCAAGCTGGCTCCTTCCTTGGAGAAGTCTTTACAAGGCTTAGTGTAGCTGGGATTTTGTCACCATACAGGGCAGGAGTAACCAAGGAAGAGCCCAAGTCCTGGTTTACACCACGCTCCAGCTTTCCCATGTGTCTCATCAGCGCAGTCCGGGCTTGTGGGAGCTCGAGGTGACCTCTTAAATCAACTTCACCCAAGGATTTGGGGAGTAGGGTGACCGGTGTTCCCTCCAGCCCAGTCTGAGACCTTCGTTAGGGAGACTCATTAGACCAACACTCATCTCAGTGAGGTGCCTGGGGAGGGCTCCTGCCCTTCCTCCCCACTCATCATCTTCACTCAGCTGCCTTCTCCTTCCAAAACCCCTTGTGTTGGACCCAAACTACGGGTCACTTGCAAGAACAACCAATCCAATTAAGAGAGATCAAGTTTTCCAGGTGGCAATTAATCATTTTGTGCTAATTGGAGGTATTTAGGAGACAAATGAACCTCTTGGATGGTTGGTGGTTGAGAACAAACCGGAGCTGAACCTCAGCTTGTCTTGATCTGCATGAACCAAATTGTGATCCCAGCTCTCTGAACCCTCGAGGGAGGCTGCCCCCCAACGGGGTCACCCCAACGGGTAGAGCCCCCCATCTCTGCACCATTTCTGCTTTTTCCTTGATGGATTTCAGGCCTCCAATGTTGAATTTTTCTCTTTTTATGGATTTCTTTGACGTTTTTTTCCCCCCGTGGCGACTCGTTTTGTTTTTTTTCTCCTCTTCCCCATCCTTCTGTAGACCCTCTCCACTCTTTCTGTTGATGTCTGGCTTTCAACTCCTCTTCTCGGACTCTTTCTGTGCTGCCTACCAAGGTACTCGATTCCCCTCAGGTTTTATCTTTTCTACCTCCTTCCTCATCCTCCTACCCTGTAAGAGAGGATCTGCCTTCATTGGAAGAGCAGAAGACCAAAGGATGGTGCTTAGAGATGGGTAAAAATTGAATAAAATAAATAAAATAAAAACAAATAAAATAAAAACAAATAAAGGACCAGTTTGGATACGATGGGTTTTCTCCTAAACCAGTTCCAAATCCCAGCAGGCCCAACGTGCCTTCAGATAAAAGAGCAGGGAATAAAAAAAACCCCACCGGGGTGTCTCCCACGCGATGGTGACACCTTCAACGTCACCACACGTTCACGGCACTCCCAAAATTGAGTTTGCTTTGTCCTCAAAGCCATTGGGAAGGTTTGAGCCACCACGTTTGTGTGTGGAGGTAGCTGTGCTGGAGCTGCCATCACCTGTGATGGTCTCAGGGACTTATTTCTCTGTCTGGAGATCCTCTACACCCAACTGAGTTGCTGGAGGGGATGCTCTCCAGCTCCCAAATCCTCCCAGGCTGGTTGAGAACGTTGATCCAATTGGGATGGGGATGTGTGGGTTTGGGATACTGCAGTTTTCCACAGCTCTCAATCCCTTCCTCATCCTTCTCTTTCCTTCCAGGCTGAGACAGCGGCCAACCGCATCTGCAAAGTGTTGGCCGTCAACCAGGAGAACGAGCACCTGATGGAAGACTACGAGAAGCTCGCTTCTGATGTGAGCCACCCTAAAAACGAGCTGTTTTACCTAAAATTGATTCCTCCTCCTCTGCCATTCCTCCCCCTGAACCTATCCTCCCACTCATCAAATCTCATTTCCCCCCCGCCCACAGCTTCTGGAGTGGATCAAACGTACCATCCCATGGCTGGAGGACCGCAGCCCGCAGAAGACCATACAGGAGATGCAACAAAAGCTTGAAGATTTCCGTGACTACCGACGTGTCCACAAACCTCCTAAAGTTCAGGAGAAATGCCAGTTGGAGATCAACTTCAACACCCTACAGACAAAACTCCGGCTGAGCAACCGACCTGCTTTCATGCCCTCTGAGGGGAAGATGGTCTCGGTGAGCAGCTCCTTGATGTTTCTCCTACCAGTGGGGAGTAGAACTTGGAGATCTGGGAGTGATGAGGTGGGAGGAGGTGGGAGAAGCTGGTGGCTTTTCACCCATTCAAAAAGCTGCTGTGGGGAGTGGTGGAGTGATATTCCCAGAGGGGTTTTGGGAGCTGATTCTTCTTTGATTTCCCCCAAAACTTGTGCTTATGTAAAATGAGGTTCCTCAAGTGGTCAGAGAAGCTTCAGAGGGGTATGTTCCTCCACCACCATTGGTTGGGGCCAAGGGGACCCTGCTGCCATCAGTGTGGGGAGAAG